TTCACTTGACTGCGCTATTCACGTTATCATAGAGCTCTGGAACTGAACCTGCAGGCATATCTGGGTTGCCTGAAATTTTTCTCATTCTTGTTTTGATTTTGACTCTTTCCTTCCTAATTCTACTCTCCTTCTTAAACCATTACTAGCCTCACTCCTTGAGTTTGCTTATATGCCACTGAACTAGATGTCTTTCAATTCACAAACACTCTCCACGCCCTGGATCAACTGAGACAGGACCTTGATATGTTGCTTTTTTTCAAACCATCTCCATGTGTGTATGCCAGACTGGGAACTCTTTGACAGCAGGCACTGGCATTTCCCTTCCTAAAGCTTACTGAACTGCCTAGAAACCTAGAGGGGCTTAATTTATGCTTACTGACTGGGCCCAAGGCTGACACCAGGCCCCAGCCTCGACCCCAGTCCATGAATTCTGGTCCCTCTCTTAGTTGGCAAATGCAGGTTCTGTCCTAGGTCCTGTTTCTGGCTCTTTCTTGCACCTTATGTCCTGTACTGAGTGACCTCTGTCTGGTTCTAACCCTGATGGGACCTCACCAGACCCACAGTGAAGATCACAGACACTTCTTTTCAGGCTCCTGAGCCTCTCATACTATAGGAGACTTGGGAGTTTCTACTTCCCACTTTCCTAATCCAAGAGTGGCTAGCAACTCAATGAATTAGGCCAACAATTCTTCAAGAATGGGCCAAAGATTGAGCCTTAGAGATCAGGGAAGGAACAGAGGTTGATGATTTCTGTAAAGCACAGCCTTTGATTAATGCTAAATAAGGCAATAGCCTTTGCTACTACTTAGATGCTACTGAATGGAGAGAGAGAAAATCACAAAACCAAGCTGCCTGGGTCCTTGTAAATTTAGGGTACATCATTTCAGTGTGGACCTCACTGTGGCAAGGCTATCCTTTGACATCTCCCTAATTGACTCCCTTGGGGTAGCTAGGTGGTGCAGTAGATAGAGTACTCATTAGAAAGACTCAAGTTCAAATCTAGCCTCAGACACCTGCTACCTGTGTGACCCTGGGCAAGTCACTTAGCCCTGTGCACCTCAATTTCCTCATCTATAAAATAAGCCTAAAAAGGAAATGGCAAATCATTCCAGTTTCTTTGCCAAGAAAACCCCAAAATGGATCATAAAGATTCAAAGATAACTGAAGTGACTGAAAACCACATAAGTGCCTCCCTATGTCATTCACCACAGCAGCTTTTCCAATTCTTTTTATTCTCTCCCAATTGCCCCTTATTGCTTGCTCCCACTGTCCACCACCCACTCACCTTCCCAGAGAAATTTGCCTTCCATTTTTTCACTGAAAAAATTAATTACTCATCAAGAGCTACCTTACCCTCCTCATATCTCATAAATCAAGTGCCTTTTTTTCCTTTTTGATACCACAATCAGATGAAATGGTCCTCTTTCTACTAGCTAAAGCAAACTCTTTTCCATGTGTAAATCATCCCATTCTAGGACAATTGTCTTCCTCAGTATGCAGCCTCTCCAGCATCCCCCTTTTTCACTACTTTCCAGTCTCTCCCACACTAATGACTCCTTCCCCACTGCCACAAGTAAAACTTTTTCTCTCTAACCCTCAAAACAGTCTTTCTTCCATTTCTTGGCTAAACAGTTGGAGATAACATTAACAACTACTGTCTCCAACTCCTTTCCTCAGGTTTCTCTGAAATTCTCTGCAGTCTAACTCCCAATGCCATTGTTTGATTGAAATTCCTTTCTCCAAAATGGCCAAAAATCTCAAAGTTGCTAAATCCACTGGCCATATCTTCTTCCTCATCCTTCTTGCCTTTTCTGCAGCCTCTCCTCTCATTGTTCCCTAAACCAAACTCATTCTCTTTCCCCCCATATTCCTATTTTCCCAATGCCCTCCAAGGCATCCTCCTAATAGTGTAAGCTTACAAATGAGATTCCATATACTCCTCAGCGACTCACAAACACTCCTGACCCCCATATTCAATCTGCTGCAAAGTCCTGTGATTCCACTTTAGTAACATCTCTCCCATACACCCCTTCACTCCCAACACTGCCACTGTCTTGGTCCAGGCCCCAAACACCTCATACATCAGTTTTTCCAACAATCTGCTCTTTGCTCCAGCTGCCTCAAGTCTCTCCCCAGTCCAGTCATTCCTCCACCCACTGATCAAACTTCATCTTCCTAAACAAAGTTCTTGACTGACCAGGTCCTCATGTAGTCAACAACCTCCTATGACTCCTTAGGTAAAGGATCAAATATAAAATCCTCTCTAGGACTATTAATCACCTACCCCCTTCTTTCCCTAGCCCTCTCCTACTCTTCTAATTTTCTTTCACCTTATATTCCCACCAAACATGTTATAATTCAGTGGTATGGACCTCTTTTAGGAGGCCAATGAACAGAACACTCCATCTCATGATTCTATGGGATTTCCAATGCCATCCCCCTGCCTCAAAGGCTTGCCCTGGCTTCCATGAAACCCCAGCTAGAGCCCACTGTCCACAATAAGCCTTTCTGGTCCTCCTTCACTCTCTCAGTGAGCTCCAATTTATCCTGACTATAACAGGTTTGTACATTGTTTTTGGTGCATGGGATGTCCCATGAATTTGAGATCCAGGAGACAGGGAATGTTCCTTGTATCTCTTTATATCCCTGGTGCTTAACAGAAGATCTGGCACATTGCAGGCATTTAATTCATCGACCTGCAGAAAGTCTAAGAAAGAGCCCATATTGGAAAGCCTAACCCCTTTTTGCACTTCTAAACAATCACTATTATTAGCATCATAGATTTCTCACTGGGAGAGAGCTTAATTGCCACGGTGTCCAACTTCCTCATTTTCCAAAAGAGGAAACAGACTCAGTGGGATTCAGTGACTTGTCCAGGGACACACTTTTAAAGTGTCTGAAAAAGAATTCCAAGTCAGGTGTTCCTGCTTCCAAATCTAGCACTTGCTTTGCTACAACACCTAGAAGACTCTTGTAATCACAGCTCTCTTACACCTGCTTTCACTTCACTCACCTGGACAGCAGCTCCTCAGGCCTTCTTGCTCCAGCATCCATGGTGCTTCCTTTTCCTCAAAATAAGAAATCCAATATGCTCTGGGAACTGGAAGCCCTGAACATGGGGAATCAGGGATGAGCACAGAGAAAAACTTGTCATTTAGTTCTCCTTACAGAAAACAGTTTACATACAAGGCTACTCCCTTGAGAATCACTCCATCATGTTCACACAGAACAGGATTATTCTCCCGTTAATGCTTGTAATGGGAGGAAAAAAATACGATGTGCCAGATCAGCCTTGAGCTCCAGCAAAAGGGACCTGGATGAACAGCTTCTGCCCTCTCCCCTACCCTGTTCATCACTCCCAGAAACTCATAAAAACCTTGTTACTGTTCATGCAGGGAGTCATTGCCTCTTTTGGTAAGATTCTCCTGCCAGGGAACTCAATGAACCTTAGTCAGTCTGATCCCGAACTAGTCTGTTATTCCTGCTATTGACAGGGGCATGTAAGCAAAAAGCACAGGATTAAGTCCCAGAAGTCCCTAAGCATGGTTTCTATAGCATTTATTTTGGGAGCTTTGGGGAAAGGTGGAGGAGAAGATCATGGATCCAATATATAATCAGAAAATTTGATCTTGGTGTACCTTTGCCATAGGAGGATGGACTCCCTGCATGGTTTCCATTATCTAGAAATTAGAGGCAGCTGATAGTACAGTGGAGAGAGCCCTGGGCCTGAACTTAGGAATATTTAGTTACATAGTTGGTCATTTTTGTTGTTCTTTATGCTCCAAGAGGACAAAAATGACATCACTCTGTCAGGGTCAAAGTACAGTGTGTCTGACCATGGATGACCTAAGAGAGCCCAGAAGGCTTTACCACATATTTAAATCTAGCCTCAGACAGTTTCTAGCCGCGTGCCTCTGGAAAAGTCATTTAACCTGTTCCCTTTAGTTTTCTCAAATATCAAATGGGGATAATCACATCACCTAATAACATAATGTTGTAAAGAAAGCACTTAGCACAACAGCTGGTGAACAGCAGGTGAATAGAAATGCTTATTCCTTTTCCACCATCTGTGCTGTAATGTGGAGGTGATGTAAAGGAAGATGAAGGACAAATGTGTCATATTAGACACAACTAGGAGCTGTCAGGTACAAACTGATGCATCTCAAAAAGAGTATCTTAAATGATTGGGCCATCCCAAAGAGGAAAGGGTTGCAAGGAAAAGCCACCTGAGCACTTTTCAGAAGATGTGGCAGACAAAATTCATGTCCAGGGAGAGGTTGGACTAAATAATTCATGGGATTGGTTCTACATCTGAGATGCTTGAATCCTGATCTGATCTTTGACCTCAACCTACCCAGAATTGGCAAGAGACAGCTTCAGGAGCAACAAGGAAACCTTCATCTTATCTTCACACAACATACTGACCTTTTATAGGAAAACCAGGCAGCAGGAGGTCCTTGTCTCTTAGACACAAGAGACCAGCACTTTTCCCTTTCTAGTAATTGATAAATTCTCCAAAGCCAGCATACTCAGGAATTAAGATATTCCCTTGATAGCAGACTCAGAGCTGCCAGAGGAAATTTCCTTACCCAGGGAGAGAAGGCTCCGGGCATTTTCCAGCATGACCTCCTTGTACAACTCCTTCTGAGGATGGTCTAAGAGGACCCACTCCTCTGGGGTGAAGTCCACAGTCACATCCTGGAATGTCACCAACTCCTAAACCATCAAATGTCACAAGATTGAGAGATGACAGACTCCAGAATTCATGCAGTCTAACCCTCATTAAGTGAGAGGAGAAAACTGAAGCATACAAAGGGGATTTACCCAAAAGTCATATCCTTGTTGAGTATCAGAATCAACACTAAAAACCATCATTGTGAAGAGCTCAATGAAATATTGAGAAAAGTATTTGATATGATCAGATGGAATAAAGTTGAGAAATGTTTTACTATGAAATGTGTCTCTCTATGGAGTCTGGGTCAAAGTGTGTGTTTTATCTGTGAGGTAGAAGGATCTGTGGAGGAGAAAGAGAGAAGATGATGTGAAATTTCTTCCTTATCAGAACTGATAAAAAACTGATATATTATGAAGAAAATTCTGTGAAAAGTTTGTGAGAAGCTGGCAAGTATATTGTATTCAGGGGGAGAGTGGGGATTTAGGTTTCACTGTAGAAAAGAGACAAAAGAAAAAGGAAAGATCTAGTTAATTTCCTGAGAGGCTCAAACAAAGTCTTATCTAGATAAAACATGAAAAGGACTCCAAAGACATGCTCATTACAATCTGGACTGACCTGAGGGATAGGAGACTTTCCAGCCAAGTGAAGGAGAGTTATCTGTTGTTACAATGAAGGCTCAAGGCTACCCTGGCTATGATGTGTCATGGCTAAAACATCTTATGCCTTCACTTTATGACTGTTTTCATTTATCAGGAACAGATTTCTTTAATACAACATGTAGTTACATAGTTGGTTATTTTTGTTGTTCTTTAGGCTCCAAGAGGACAAAAATGACATCACTATGTCAGGGTCAAAGTACAGTGTGTCTGACCACGGATGACCTAAGAGAGCCCAGAACGCTCTACCACACATTGGGGACAAATAGTCCATGTGAACATTTGGGGTGCAGATGGCTCCAAATTTGCACATCTCACCATTACTTTGAGCTACTGCAATTCTGCTTTGCTAGCACAGCACAGTACATTCTTTGATGTGGGCTGGCCATGCTGGGTGGTCCTTTGCCAGTGTCTCCCATGTCTCACAATTGATTACAAAATTCTTCAGAGATGCCTTGGGAATGTTCTTGTATCACTTTCTTCTGACAACCTTGTGAGCACCTTCTTTGCATAAGTTCTCCATAAAATAGTCTTTTAGGCAAACATACTTTTCACATTTGAACAACATGGCCAGTCATCAGAGTTGTGCTCTCTGCAGTAGAGATTGCCAAGTAGGCTTGGCGATCTAACCTGAGAAAGGACCTCAGTATCCAGGACCTTATCTTGCCAGGTGACCTTCAGAATCTTCCTAATACAATTCAAATGGAAGTGATTCAGTTTCCTGGCACAGCACTGCTATACTGTCCAGCTTTCACAGACACACAACAATGAGGTCAGCACAATAGCCCTGTAGACCTTCAGTTTGCTATGCAGCCTAAAACCTCTTCTCTCCTATGCTTTCCCTGGGAGTCTCTCAAACACTGAGCTCTCTCTGGCAAAGCTAGGAGTCAACTGTTAAAATTAGTTATCTGCAGTAGAATACAATCTGATGTACAAAATTTGCTAATAAACACTGATTTAATTGTAACAGTTGACAGGTTATCTCTAAGTAAGGTCAACTAATTCCTCAGTAATTTGTGACATAGATGTGATGTACAGAGCTTATTTTTATAAGAGAAGAAGAAAAAAATTACAACAATCTTAGGAAACATATTTTGAACATAATTCAATTGGACAAGACAGGTCATCTGACTACTTATTCCTCCCAGGTTTTCTTGACCCAGATTCATCCTGTGTTTATCAACCTGTCTGTCAAAGTGAGAATACCCCAGAAGTCCTTGCTCTGCAGCTGTTGAGTTTTCTAACCAAAAGTACTATTTTAAAGGAGCTTATAATTTGCAGAAAGATTGCAAAAGAGGGCCTTGTGGTTTGTACTAAGGAGTCACACCCCATCCTCCAGCTACCAGAAAGATATTTGGTAAAGAAAGACTTGAACAAAAGAAAAAGAACATAAGAAAGAAGGTGAAAAATAGCACTTTTCAGTCTGTATGCAAACAATATCGGTTCTATCTCTGGAAGCAAAGAGTATGCTTCATTACTAGTTCTTTGGGATTTCCTTGGATCATTGTATTGCTGAGAGTATCTAAGTCATTCCCAGTTCTTCACTGAACAATATTGCTGTTACTATGTATAATGTCCTCTTGGTTCTGTTCACTTCATTTTCCATCAGTTCGTTTAAATCTTTCCAGATTTTCTGAAATCATCCTCCCTGTCATTTCTTATACCAGAATACATTATAATCATATACCACAGATTTTTACCCATTCTCCAATTGATGGCCATCTCTTCAATTCTCCATTCTCAATCACCACAAAAGGAGTTGCTATTAATTTTTTTTTGTACAAATAGGCCCTTTCCTCTTTATTTTCATGTCTTTGGGTTCTAGGCCTTGCAGGGGTACTGCAGGATCAAACAGTATGCACAGTTTTATACTTCTTTGGGCAAAGTTCCAAATTGCTCTCCAGAATGGTTACATCATTTCATAACTCCAACAATGCATTTGTATCCCAGTTTTTCACATTCCCTCCAACATCCATCATTTTCCTCTTTGATCATATTGGCCAATCTGATAGGTATGAGATAGTACCTCAAAGTTGTGTTAACTTCATTTCTCTAATCAATAGTGATTTAGAGCATTTTTTCATATGATTATAGATAGCTTTAATTTCTTATTCTGAAAACCACCTGTTCATATCCTTTCACCATTTTTCAATTGGGGAATGACTTGGGTTTATAAATTAGACTCAGTTCTCTTATTTATTCAAGGAATTGGCCTTTATCAGGGATACTTGTTAGAAAAAAATTTTCCCCATTCTCTGCTTTCCTTATAATTTTGGTTGTATTGGATTTGTTTGTGCTAAAACTTTTTAATTTTATATGATAAAAACCATGGATTTTACATTTTATAATGTTCTCTATCAATTGTTTGGTCATAAATTCTTCCCTTATTCATAGATTTGACAGATTAATGACTCCATGCTCTCCTAATTTGCTTATGGTATTACCCTTTATTTGTAAAATATGTGCCCATTTGGACCCTATTTTGGTATGCACTGTGAGATGTTGGTCTATATCTAGTTTCTGCCATAGTGTTTTCCAGTTTTCCCAGCAGTTTTTGTGAAATAATGAGTTTTTGTTCCAAAAGCTTGGATCTTTAGGATTATCATATACCAGATATGGGTACATGAAATAGGTATAGATATATACTAGATAGGGTCATTTGCTGTAAGGTAATTTATACCTAATCTATTCCACTGATCCACCACTTTATCTCTTAGCTAGTCCCACATTGTTTTGACAATTATGACTTCATAATACAGTATGAGATCTGGTATAACTAGACTGCCTTCCTTCACTTTTTCCCCCCATTGGTTACCTTGATATCCTTGACCTTTTGGAGAACCTCTATTTTCTTGGTGTTATTGTCAGGCCAAAATTAGCACAAGCATCAGAGAATTGGTCCATATGCTACTATTCAGTTACTTTGAAATAAGAGTAATTGTGAAGGGTTTCTTTATACATTAAGAAAGCAAAATTTAATTAATGTAGGGTGTATTTCAGCTAATTCATCAGAAAGCTATTGACAGTTTCCTCAAGAGAAGTAAAAGATCTAATCATACCTCTAGAATTCTGGAAACTTGGGAGGACAAAAGTCAAGAGAATGGACCATATACACGAAAGGTTGGCCAAATCTAAAAATGTCTTTATACTTGGGAGCAGTCAACCATAATTCCAATCTGCTCCATGCACAACGTGTGTTTGGCCAATGTGCTAGGATATGATTCACTTTATCAGAGATTCTGATATTTGGGAACAATTCTCCATCATATGTACAAAATTGTCCTTTACTTTCTTTATCATTGTGATTTCTTCTTTAAAATACCTGACTCATGGTCTAATTTTTAACTGATATATCACCTTTCACTTCCTTTATTCTATCATGTTCCCATTCATTATCAGATTATATTAATTAGCCAGCTAGACCTAATTAACTGTTAGGAAAAAAGTTTAACTAAGGTGGCATAGTAAAAATAGTTGGTCAGAAGGTAACCCTTACCCCTCAGTAATTTTAGGAACACACTTTTCCATGAGTACAGACAGAGTCCAGGGAAAAGTAGGATCAAGATACTACAAACAAATGTAAAAAGGCAGAATTTATCAATATATCATTTCATTCCATAATAAAATAAGAATGGAAATTGGTTCAGGGACAAGAAAAGATTCAAACTCAAATGGAGATTTAACAATGATGTTGACACTTTCAATACTACGGTAATGAAATTATGGGGACAGCTAGGGGGCAGAGTGGATAGAATGTTGAGCCTGGAGTCAGGAAAATCTGACTTCAAATTTGGGCTCAGACCCTTGTTAGCTGTGTGTGATGCTGGGCAGGTCAGTAAAATGTTTGCCTCAGGTTCCTCAACTGAAAAATGATCTAGAGAAAGAAAAAGAAAACCACTACAATATCTTTGCCAAGAAAACCCCAAATGGAGTCACAAAGCATTGGACATGACTGAACAACAGCATTAATAACAATAACAAAATTATGAAGGAGATATTTTACGGAGCTGAAGAAAATAACAAAATTCATTTGGAAAAACAAAAGACCTACAATAATATCAAGGGGAATGATGAAAAGAAGTGAGGATAGAGAGGGAAGGGAACTTCCAGACCTCAAACTATAGCATACAGCATTGGTCATCAAAACCATGTGGGATTGCTAATATAAAAAAGAGACAAAGGAACAGAACAGATTAAGCAAGGGAAATTCAGAATCACTAGAAATAAGTAAAACTCAATGTTATATAAAGTGGGAAACATACTACTTAGGGTAAAACTCCTTATTTAGTTAAAAAAAAACCTGATGAGAAAAATGGAAAGCAGTCAGGAAAGAAATTAAGATTCGATCAACATCTTAACAATACGCTACAACACATTTTATATGGTATTTTCTTGGCAAAGAAATTATTGAGGAAAATAGACCTGATATCATAGAGCCAGAGGGTAAAATAGAAATTGAAAGAATCCAACAATCATATCCTAAAAAAGATCTCAAAATTAAAACTCCCAGGAATATCATAGCCAAATTCCAGAGCTCCCAGGTCAAGGAGAAAAAAGTATAAGCAACCAGAAAGAAGCAACTCAAATGTCATGGAGCCACAGTCAGGCTAACACAAAAGTTAGTAGCTTTTACTTAAAAAATCAGAGGGTGTGCAATATGATATTCAGCATGACAAAGGAACTAGGATTATGACCAACCATCACATACACAGAAAAACTGTATAATACTTCATGGGGAAAAAAAATGGACATTCAATAGAAGATAATCAAACATTTCTAAGAAAAAGAACCAGAGCCGAACAAAAAATTTGATCTTCAAATACAAGACCCAAGAGAAGCATCAAAAGATAAACAGAAGAGAATCAATAAGGTTAAATTCTTTCTATTCCTACGTTGCAAGATGATGCCTGTAACTCTTAAGACTTTTATGATGATTAGGGCAATTAGAAGGAGTATACATTGATTATGACGGGATGATATATAAGAAAACACAGTCAAGGAGTGAGAAAGAGAATTTCTTTCCAAGAAGAAAGAAGGAAAAGGTGCAAGGGGGTGAATTATCTTACACAATAGAGGCAAAGAAGAGCTCTGTAGTGAAGGGGAAGATGGGGGTGGTGGGAATGGAGGGCTTGAGCCTTACTCCTATCAAAATTGGTCTAAGCAGGGAATAACATACATGCTCAGATGGGTATGGAAATCTATCTCCTCCTATAGGGAAGTAAAAAGGGACAGGGATAAGGGGGAGACTGATAGAAGGAAGGGCAGATTAGGGAAGGCATTGGTCAGAATCAAAACCCTGGTGAAGAGAGACAGGGCAAAAGGTGGGAGAATAGACAAGCAGAAAGACAGAGAGGGACAGAAAGAGAGGGAGAGAGATAAGGAGAAACAGGATGGAGGGAAATAGTTAGTTATCATAACTATCAATATGAATGGAATGAACTCATCCATAAACTGCATTACTATATGTAAAATGGATAATTTTGATTGTATTAAATTAAAAAGGGTTTTTTGCAGAAACAAAATCAATGCAACCAAGATTCGAAGGAAAGCTGACAATTGAGAAAAAATTTACAGCAATTATCTCTGATAAAGGCCTCATTTCTCTAATATACAGAACACTGAGTCAAATTTGCAAGAACACAAGTCATGACTCAATTAATAAATGGTGAAAGGATGTGCACAGGCAGTTCAGACAAAGAAATCAAAGCTATTTATAGTCATAGAAAAATTCTCAAATGCAAATTTAAACAGCTCTGGGTTACCACCTCACATCTATTTAATTGACTAATAAACAGAAAAGGAAAAATAATAAATATTGGAGGGAAGTAGGAAAATTGGGACAATAATGCACTGTTGTTGGATTTGTGAACTGATCTAACCATTCTGGAGAGCAATTTGGAACTATACTCAAAGGGCTATAAAACTGTGCATACCCTTTGACCCAGCAATAGCATTACTAAGTCAGTATCCACAAAAGACTTTAAAAAAATTATTCTATACATTATGACTAATGTGAAAATATGTCTACTATGAACAAATAAGTAGAGTGTATGTCAGATTGCATGCCATCTTGGGGAGTGGGAAGAAAAAAGGAAGGGAAAAAAATTTAAAACTCAAAATCTTATGGAAACAAATGTTGAAAACTAAAAATAAATAAATTAATTATTTTTAAAAAGATTTTTAAAAAAGAGAAAAGGACCTATGTAATAGCTCTTCTTTGCATTGGCAAAGAATTGGAAATTGAGGAGAATCCCATTAATTGGGGAATGTCTTTACAAGTTGTAGTATATGAATCAAACAGAATACTATAGTGTTATAAGAAATGACAAGCAGGATGATTATAGAAACACCTAGAAAAACTTCCATGAATTGATGCAGAGTGAAGTGAGCAGAACCAGAAGAATACTGTGCAAAGTACACTATATGATGAACAGTGAATAACTTAGCTATCCTTAGCAATAACATGACCTAAGACAAACCCAAAGGACTCATGATGAAAAATGCAATCCCCCTCCATAGAAACAACTAATTGAATCAGAATATAGACCTAAAATATACTATTTTTCACTTTCTTTCCTTATGGTTCAAGTTTTCTTTCAGAAATGAATAACATGGAAATGTATTACATGATTGCTTATGTATAACCTCTTTCTGATTGCTTACCATGTGCAGGAGAGGTAAGAGGAAGGAGGCAGGTAGAGAATTGTGACCTCAAATTTTAGGAATAAAAAATGTTTTTATATGTAATTGGGGAAAAATAAAATACTATTTAAAAAAAGACTAATAGCCAATGGCATCTAGGTGGCATAGTAGATAGAGCACCAGGCCTGGAATCAGGAAGATCAAAGTTATAATTTAGCCTCAAACATTTACTAGCAATGAGACCCTGGGCCAGTCACTTAAGCATGTTTGCCTCAGTTCATCCTAAGTAAAATGAGCTGGAGAAAGAAATGGCAAACCGTTCTAGTTCTCTGCCAAGAAAATCCCAGTGAGTATCACAAAGAGTCAGACATGACTGAAGCAAATGAAAAACAAATAGTCGTTCCCCAATAGATAAATGGTCAAAGGATAGGAACAAAAAATTCTCAAAAGAACTGCCAAGTATTCCCAACCACATGAAAAAAGGCTCCAAACCCCTAACAAGAGAAACATAAAAACCAAATCAATACTGAGGTTTCATCTCATATTCTGCAAAATTGGCAAAAATGACAAATAGCACCAGTCAATGTCGGAGGAGTTGTGGAAAGATGGGCACATTAATACAATGTTGATGGAGCTATGAAATGGTAGGAGATCATGAAGCTCTGAGTTCAAATCCAGCCTCACACACATACTAGTTATGTGATCCTGGTTGGTAAGTCACTGAACCTCTGTTTGCCTCAGTTTCCTGAACTGTGAAATAGAGAATACCTACTATACAGGGTTGTTGTGAAGATGGTCAAAAGTGGATTTTCAGGAGAAAGTAAGTCACTCCATTATGTCTTTGCCTTTGAGCCTGATGCCTCATTGATAAGAACTGAGTGTCTTCTTCAGTAACCCCCTTTCCCCCATCAGAAAAGAAAACTGCCACAACTTTGAATAGTTCCCCAAACTCAGCCCTTTCCTATATCCTCTTCAACAAGGAAAGCAGTAGGTTCTTAACAAATGCTAATCAATTAACAGCTAAACAAGGTATCCCTTTCTTTGGCCTGGTCCAAATAATTCTGGTAAGAGTCTTTGAACATGTGAATATGACCCAGATACTGACTTCACCTGTTTTCTTGAGTTGTCCTATTCTCCTGAAAACACTGGACCAGAGGATGCAGGAGGCCAGGAACATCCCCAGCCCCAGCTCACAGTATTTGCCCCTTTCAACCCTTACTGCCCTCTTAGTGTGCCCTTGAGAGTCAAACCAGCTACCAAGACAGTGAGTGTGCACAGACATTTCAACTGTTTGTGCAGCTCAGACTAAGCAGAGCATCCTGTCAAGGTTTCTGGCAGGGAGAGCTTGGCCAAAGAATCAAAGGGGAGGGGGGAACAGTTCTATCGATATAGGGGGAGGGTGCTAGGAATGTATAAAGGAGCAAAGACAAGACCCCTACAGAATGAGTGAAGTGGTCTTCCTTATGTCTCAGGGATCATGAGGGAAAATTTAACAAAAAAAAAATGACACGGATAGGAAAGCAACTATGGGGTTAATGCTTGTTATGCCAAAGTGCCATGAATCAATTCAAAGTACAGAAGGAGAGAACTGGGTGGTGGTGTTATTATTGTTTTCAATTTCCTGCCTATTTTTGTAAAGAAACAATCCATAGGTAGGGGATTGCCAGCCTCATAGATCATCCTCTTTGTCTGTGGAAATGACCTCTTTGTTGATGTTGATAAAGTCTGTAGACAGAGCACACTTACCTGGGGTAGGGGTCTGCAGCTCCCAGGGGACATTCCCTCTGTCTCTTGGCCCCCTGCTTGGGCCAGGCCTTAGTCTTCAACAGACTGAACTGGGGAGGCAGAAGGATCCCAGGGCAGGAGGCTAGCCTACAGAATTTACAGGAGGTGAGGCCCTACCCTCAGGGCAGAGAATGCAACTTACAGGTAGGGCCAGGCTTGGAAAAGATGGCCAAACCCTCTCCAACTCCTCTTCTGTCCCCTTCCTTTCCCCCATTCTCCTTCACAGAACCAAGAGGCAGAAGGGGCTTGGGATCCTAGGTGGTCATTTCATTTCATTTTCCTCTGGAGGATCCCAGGCTACTTTCCACCTCTTAATCCCCTCTAGACCCCTTCTCTGTTACCTCTAGATCACCCCAAGCTATTTACCACCCTTAGATCCCATCCCAAATCTTTTCCCCTATAAAAAAGTCAGTCTTGCTCCTACCAAATACACAGATTCTTAAAATCTTGCCCGCTTCTATTAGTGACACAAAAAACCTTGTCTCTGTCTGAAAGAAGGCTTGAGTG